CTCCAATTCTCCATCCTGTCAGGATTCTGGACACACACATGCATATACCCTGCATGGTTTTCAAGCTGCTGGGGCCAAGACTCAAAGCCTGGCCAGCCATGTGGGATCTGGCTTCCTCTGCACAGCGCCTAACTGCCGTACTCTGAGCCTGCTCCTACTTTTACTTTCGTGGACATAAAATTCAAACAACAGAGAAAGAATAAGATACAAAAGCCTGAGGATTCATAAGTGGTCCTTATTGTTTTGTTACTGACTTACTCCATGGTCCATCACATGAGTCAAACTAATATGGCCCTCATGTGTTAGACTACAAAGGTCTACAGATTCCAGTGAAACACTCCAGGGCCTTAGAACAAAAGCAGCTCCTAGACGTAGGGAAGGCTTCCTTCCTCATTTCTATTTTTTTTCAATGTTTCTTAAACACCATGATCTCTCAGAGACAATCGACTGGAAAATTCTGCACATCTGGGCCTGGATTCACTGCTCTTAGCTGGGCCCGTTCACGTGTTCGTGGCCAGCAGTAGGCCAGCTGAGGACTGGTTTGGTTCAGAAGCCTCAGCTGAGACAAGTGAGCTGTGCACCATGAGTCAGTCACATCCCTCCTGCAGGTTAAGCTGCAAACGTTTGGGCTTGCTCTCAAGGCGACCCCCGAGAGGCAAGAGCAGAAACACAAAGGCACTTCTTCTAAGTTCTAGATGTGTCTCGGGTCATAGGGAAAGTCATGATGCGTTTTTGCATAGAAAAACGTATCATGACTTTCTCAATGACCCAATAGTTTGCTAACATCTTTTTGATCCCCTCCCTGGACTCTTTTTTTGTAAACTGTGGTAAGTATACCTAACATAAACTTCCCCATCTGAATCACTGTTAGGTATCAGGTACATTCACCCATCACCACCATCTGCCACCAGAATGTTCACCTTGCCAACCTGAAACTATATCCATTCAACACTAAGTCCCTGTCACTCCCTTACCCCAGACCCTGGCAACCACCTTTCTGCTTCCTGTCTCTATGAATTTGACAACTCGAAGTATTTCTTTTGTGTGGAATCACAGGAGTTGTCCTTTTGTGACTGGCTTATTTCCATCAGTATGATGACTTCAAGGTTCGTCCTTGAAGCACGTGTCACCATTTCTTTCCTTAGGGCTAAATAATATTCTATGGTACGTGTGTACATTTCATTGATCTGTTTATACATCAGTGGACATTGGGTTGTTTCCATCTTTCTTTGTCTGTTGTGAGTAATACTGCTATAGGGTATAGGAATATCTATTCATACCCCTGTTTTCAATTCTTGTAGATACATACCCAGAAGTGGAACTGGTAGATTATATGGTTTTTTGGGGTTTTTTTTTGAGAAACTGCCCTACTGTTTTCCACATCAGCTACAGCTACAACATTATACATTCCCACCAACAGCCCACAAAGGTTCTTACTCTCCCTGTTCTCATCAACACTTGTTATTCTGAGGTTTGTTTCTGTTTTTGATAATAACCAAACAGTGGTGAAGTGGCATTTCATTTTAACTTTGCCTTTCACAAATAATTAGTTACAATGAGCATCTCTTCACGTTCTCATCAGTTATCTGTATATCCTCTTTGAGGAAAAGTCTGTTCAAGTCCTTTACCCATTTGGAATCTATGTTGTTGAGTTTCCGGAGTTTTCTGCATACTCTGGTTATTACTCCCTTAGCAGAAACGTGGTCTGCAAATAATGCTTTCCTTTGCCAATGAAAACTCTCTTTTAAAACTGGAGAAGTTGATGCAGAAACTGCTATAATTTCTCAGTTCTAAGCACTATACCAGGCACCAGAGATACAGAAATGAACAAGACAAAATTGTCAGAATCACGATTTCACTTAAAAAGGAACAGAGAAAACATTAAAATTGTAACACAAGACGTCGTGGGGGCATAGTGGTTACGCACCTGGAACCACATGGGAAAGGTCCCAGGTTTGCAGCCCGGGACCTCCCTGGGCATGCTGGGTATGCATGTGCATGCATGTAATCAAGGCTAGCTGACAGTCGGGATGGACCGTGGCATGAAGACCCAGCTGAGGGTGCACGCTCTCTCTCTCTCTCTCTCTCTCTGCCCCCTCTCTCATGGGAGAGGTAAACTCAAAATGTATAACACACTATGAAACGTTTTACAACAGAAGAACAAAGAGAAGACCCTGGGTGTTCAGATCGCTGGATAAAGGGAGGAGTCACCGTGAAGGCACCAGAGGTGAGCCTGGGGCCTGACAGAATCAGATGACAGGAGCGAAGACTAGGACAGGAACAAAAGATATGGTAATAAAGCAAGCAAGGGCCAGGTCCTACACACCATTATTTGTCATGAAGAAAACGTTCTTTTCTCTTGACATCTCTGACGATGGCTGTAACTGTCTGGACTGTGTGGAAAAACCAAACCAAACCAAACAGAAAGAAACACCGTATCCTGTGGACAGAGTGTGGAAAGCTCCTAAACATGCCCAATGTTAATCATGCCAGAACAAAAAAAGGCACCCCCTGGGACAGGTACGTCAAGGAACACACTCCCTCCCCACGCTGGATATGGAGAGTGGACTCATCCCTGTCATGCTGGGATTTGCAGAATCGGGGCAAGGAGCCTCTGACTTGGCCTGGAGGAAACTGAGGGCCTTGCGCATGTGCTGTGTCTGGGTACTCGGAACTCTTTAAATATTTCACTGTGGCCTACGCTGGATTTAGAAGAGGAGAGGGAACGGACTATGCATATTCTCAAAGGACGTCCATAGTAAGAGCAAGAAACCTGGCATTCTGAAAACAGAGTGACTTACAGGGTTGGGGGATGCACGCAGGGGAGCAGCAACAAAAACTCATCTACAGAATATGGGTCAGCAGGTGGTGTAGTGGTTAAGACACTGGACACCCACATGGTCGACAGTGGTTTGAGTCCCGGATGCAGTGGCTCAAAACAGGCCAAGCACGTATGCGTGAGTGCCCAAACCCGAGAGAATAGGGGAGAAGGGATTTTGGCATGGCCAATCGCCATGGGGGACGATTTCTTGCTTTCTATCCATCTGTCTTTGTGTCTCCAGCAAGTGCACACACCCCGTAGAAAAAAATCTCTCTCTCAAAAAAAAACAAAAACAAAAAACCTGCAGAACATATAAACTTATTCATGAGGTATGCCTAGAAATTACTAAGCTTTAGGAAGACTGGACTTCCTGTCCACCTAAATCAACAGGGACAGGGACTCAGTGCTCCTCACACATTAACGGAAACATGACCCTCAATTTAACCGGAGGACTAAGTTTGAGCTTATAATGTATTTCATCTTAATTTTGTTCCTAACCCCTACCCACCCCACCCCCCCAAAAAAGGCCAAGAATAAGGACAAACTCAGCAGCAACCAGCATGACAGAACATGCTATGGGCTCCAGACAGTATTCCCCCCAAAGAAGGGCTCCCACCAGGGTTCCACGCTCATGTCCTGGGCCTCCCTCTTGGTGCCAGGTGTGTGCATGCCTGCAGTGGTCACAGCTGCCAGGCCTGGGGTGGACTGCAGCGTGAAGACCCACTCGGGTATGTGCCATGCTCTCTTACCTTCTCTCTTATGGAAGAAATGAACAAATAACTTACAAAAGAACTATTCAATCTGAATTCTATTAACCTCTAGAATTGACTACTAATTTATAAGAAATACAGGAGATGGAGAAACATATTAGCCTATACCACAGGGGTGAGAAAATCTACGAGGCAATGTGTTTCTTCAACTACTTCATTAAGAAGAAAAAAATAATGAAAAGAGGAAGCCCACGGAATAAAACTAAAGAAGTCCATCAAGTGATTGCAACGGAAGGCCCTTTCTGGATCCTGATGTGAATAAACAAACTAAAAAGGATGGCCAAGTTACGATTCAGTTGGAAACTGGACATCTTCTAGCTATCTGATGCTAAGAAATTATTTAAAAATTACTGCCCATGCTTTAGGATTGCTAATGGTGTGATGGTTGTGCTTAAAGAAGAGAGACCTTAGCTTTTAGAAGTATGTATTCAAATATTAATGAATGGAATGATATGATGTCTAGCATTTGCTTCAAAATAATATGAGAAAGGAGAGAGAAGGGAGTAAAGATGAAAAAAGGCTAAAGAAGAGTTCAAAACATCTGAAGCAGAGTGACGAGTTTAGTCTGCTATTTTGTCTGTTCCTCTACATGTTTAAAATTGCTCATAATAAAAAGCTGAAATAATTTTATTGTATACCCAAATATGATGGTTCAGAATATTCTATCCAGGATAGAAAAGGAAAGCTCTTGAAGAGTATATAAAGATATGGAAAAATGTTTATGGAAAGATTTTTTAATAATTATTTATTATTATTGTTATTATTATCTTTCAACTTGTTATAGGACACGTGCGCTCAAAGAGAGACAGAGAGAGAGATAGAAGGAAAGTGAGAAAGCAAGTCATCAAGTTCTGGACTTGAACATCAGTTGGCCATGTGAGAGTTCAACACCTTAACCACCATGCCACCCACTGACCCTTGAAAGATTTTTTTTAAAAAAGCATTTGTGCATGTACATGTTATCTATACATATAGCCATGCCTAGACTTAGCTCTTTCTCCCTACATATTCACCTATTTTAAAAAGAGAACAAATATTGACCAGCAGATGGCTCAATGGTTATGTTACTGGACTGCCATAAGGTTGACCATGGTTCGAGTCCTGGACCCAGCAGTTTAAATTCATGTCGGCACGTATGCATGGGGGCCTAAAATCTCTAGAGAAGAATGGAGGATCTTCTTGAATGCATATGGAAAAAATAACATAACTTAAAATTTTTACTTGCTATCAAGCTTATAATGCATATTACATTTTTCAATTTGAGAGTATTGAACATACATTTAAAACATAAATATATTAAAGCTAGAATGAAATTTAAAAGATTTTTTAAAGTTATATGAAAATAAAGACAATTAAATTTATTTTTACACGCAACACGATTAGCTATCAGACAGTTACTGAGAAAGTACCTTGGACAAATCTCTGAAGTTACTCGGCAAGGTGAGATCCAGTTCCTCAGATTCGTAGTTAGTGATGACCCAGGGAAACACTGGATACTGATTTAAGTCATTGTAACTCCGTCCTGGTAGGGGCAAACAAAGTCACTTTCAATTTAAAATGAAAAACTAAATAATAGATGCGCTCATATAATAAGAACGATGATTTTTAGGTGCCACTGTTCTCAGTGTTGCCTATATAGTATTTCATTTAATGTTCACAATAACGTTATGAAATTAGTATCATCTCCCTTTGACAGATGGAAAAACTGCACAAAGTGAGTCATTTGGGACCAGGTGGTGGTACAGGGGTAACCCAACTGGACCCCCTTGGGAAAGGGGAGGGCTCATGTCCAGGGACCTCTCTGAGGAGACGGGCTGCATGGATGCACACACATACTCATGATCGGGGCTAGCTGTCATGAGGACAGGTCACAGAGTGTAGACTCTGTTAGATGCCCTTGTCTCTATCTCTGTCTCTCTTGCAAAAGAGATAAATAAACTTTTTAAGAAGTGAGGTAATGTCCCAACTCACACAACGAGCAACGGTCAAGCTGCATTCAAATCCAAATACTCTAGTCCTAAAACTAAAGTTTACTTGATCCTTCCTTTCAGTTCCCTTATTACCCTCCAATGGATACCTTCATTACTTTGTATCTGTAATTGTTACCTAATTTTCTCTCTGCTTAGTCTTTTCCCACCACAATTTACCTTCTTCTTATTATTATCATTACTATTATTTTTTTAGAGAGATGTTTGCTACACGGCATGTGCACTCACTGGAGAGACAGAGAGCTGGAAAGTGAGAAATCAACCCCCAGAGAGGATGGCCATACCACAATCCCTTCTCCTCCATTCTCCTTTTGGGATTTTGGGTACACATGCACATGTGCTTGGCGTGAGTTTTAAGCTGCTGGGTCTGGGACTTGAGCCATAATCAACTACCTGGGAGTCCAGCAACTTAACCATTAAGCCATCTGCTGAGCCCTCCAGTTTACATACCATCTTTAAGTTAATTTTTAATAACTTTCTAATATCACTGATATCCTCAAATACTAGGAAAAGTTTCCCAATGAACTGAGTACCAGCTTCTCGAATTAATATACTCTTCACCAATAGTCTCCACACCAACACTCTTCTTTTCCTCGTATCTTTATGAATAGATACATTAAGCATACACAGAGAGACACACATATACACACAGAGAAACTATACCACTAACTGTTTTCTAGGTCTACGTTGTATTTTCTTATCTTTGGATGCTTGCTTATACTTTCAGTTTCACATGGAATGACCTCTAACCTCCTAACTCCTCTGCTAACTCCTCCTAACTCCAAAGCAATATCCATCCTTACACCAACTCCGAAATCTTTCCTACCACCTAATCATTTTCCTCCCTCCCTGCCCTTGTAATCCTCCTCCCACGGCCTATCTCTTTTATCAAACTCACTCTAGAATCACGTACAATGGTAAGATCCACTCGTATTTAAAACCACTTTTCTAGAGGGAGCACCGTGATCTTTCCTCTTGGAATCTCCTCTGTACCTTGCTAGAAACCAGGTCGGTGTGTTGAACTGAATCTTGAAAGTTTCACAAATACACTCCCTTTTCTTTACCACAGTTGCCACAGATGAAAAGAAGGGGCACTTTCCTATTTTTTTTTTTTCCAAAATACTGTTGTGGTGAGTGGTTTCGATGACAGTACATGATTGCAGACCTTGCACAGGGCTATCGGAGCTTCACGTTTTCATATGTGAGTCGTAGTATGAATATTCCTTAATATTTTACTCGCGGTTATCTACTTCCTAGGTTGCGTTTTGTTGTTTCATCTCATGCGTAGCTAAGCTATAAAGCAGTTCTTACGCGTTCATGTGGTTCTTCATCCCCATCATTCTATTGAGTCATCGAGAAAGCCATGATGCACTTTTGCATAGAAAAACGTAGAATACGTCACGACTTTCCTGATGACCTAATACCATGAGTCCGTTATTACTATGCTAAATCATCGTAAATTTTCATTTTCTCTTTTAAAATTGTTTTCAAGTAGCCTACTGTTCACATATAGAACTGGAAATCCCATGACTGAGTTCATTTTGATGAGGTGTTCTAGCAGTAAAAGGGCCCATAAAAATAAGCTACTATACCAGTACTCAAAACAGTCTACCCAGATTACAAGGATTAATTATTATTTGGCATAAGTCGAGGCATGGATTTAGATTACCTGCTATCGTGTTGAGAAACATCAAATACTCGAAATTTGAAATCTCTCTGTGCTGCCACCGCTGGGTCATGTTAGAGGCTTTAAAAAGTTGACGTGGACTAGCTAGTGAGATACGCCTGTAAGAAACAGAATTCAGTTGAGGATCAATTTAAATGTAAGATGAATGAGATCATAAAAAATCATGAATTATGTATGTTTATCCATTCATACTGAAATCAGTAATTCTGAAATCAGTAATTCATGTTCGGCTAATGACTGCTAAAAACGCTTCAGTCAATAATCAATGGTTCAACAAATGAATTAGACCAGCCACGGGTCTATTACACACGCTCTGCTCATTCAGGTAAGCTGTCATTACGAGGCCTTTCAAACATCCAGTTTCCACAAGGGTTGATTAATAACAGTACCATTTATAATTCACTAGTTAACTGACATAAAAAGAAGAAATTATATTATGTGTATATAAAATTATATTCACCTGCTTATCAATGTTAATAGTTCTCTCTTAACAACAACATGTTTATACATTATATATTTAAATGTATTTGCAGACCCTTTGTAACAAGAAGAAAGTGGGTTCTAAACTATTGGGTGTTGGGAAAGCCATGGCTTATTCTTTTCTATGCAAAAAAAAGCATCATGACTTTTTCAATAGCCCAATATTTAGGTATCTATTCATAGAAAGAGCTAAAGGAAAGAGAAATCATTGAGATTTTAAGAGAAGATGAAGCTGTCTGTGGACCCTTGCTTGTTTCTAGGATGCATGTGCTTGCTGGACAGGGAGAAAGAGCAGGAAGGTGAGAAACAGCCCCCAGATGGGATGGCCACGACACAATCCCTTCTCCTCCATTCTCCTCCTGGGACTTGGGCTCCCGTGCACATATGCCAGGCTTGTTTTTCAAGCCGCTGACTCTGGGATTCAGACTGCATAGTAGGCCATGCGGGATCCAGTAGCCTTCACAAACATGCCATTGGCTGGCCCTAGGGACTCGATAAAATGTCAATACCAATGAGGACAACTCATGGGAAACGGGTGCAGGAGTCATCAATACGTTCAAAGTCTAAAGTCTTAGAGAAGTTTAGGTGTCACAGTTCTACCTACCACAGAGGACAAGGCAGCTAGTGTTTCTTTTCATTTTTATTGAGGTATGATTTACATATGATAAAATCTATCCATTGTATGGAATACTACTGAGCCATAAAAAAACTAATGAGATCTTGCCACCTGATACAAAGTGGGTAAATACGGAAGATGTCATGCTAAGCCAGCCAGATTATGAACGACAGACTGTATGTCCCCACACAATATATACAGGACGTCTGCACTTAATGGCAGAAACTGAAAGAGTGGAAAAGATATCAAGTCAGAGACAGCAAGTGTAGATACTGGAGACTATATAGGAGGGGTGGATAGTTGTGGATGAGAAGGAGGGACTCAAAAAAAAATTTAACAAACACCTGGGCAGCAGGTGGCTTGGTGGCGCGTGAGAGAGAGACAGTGAAAGAGAAAGTGAGACATCATCCCCCAGAAAGAAAGTGAGAAATCATCTCATCTTCTCCATTCTCCTCTTGGGGTCTTGAGCATGCACGCATGTACACCTGGCATAATTTTTAAGCCACCGGGTCCAGGCCTTGAACCGTGGTTGGCTATGTGGGAGTCCAACACCTTAATCACCCTGCCACATGTCAGCCCCAGTCTGCAATTTCAATAGATCAAAACTGAAACTCATCCTCTGTCCATCCACTCCTTCTCACAACACCAATTATGGGGAGGGAGGGTGAACACACACCCCTATTCCTCCAGTGCTCTGATCTCAGTAAAAGCCACGGAGCAGCTCGAGCTGAGAAGGGAGCAGACATACTGAGAGCCTTCCACTCTTACTGCCCCCCCAGGTAAATAACTTCCAAACCCCATCAATTATATTTCCTAAAACTTTCTAAACAACGTTGCCTCTTCAAGTACACTATCACCATCACAGATCACCTGGATTTCTACCACAGGCTCCCAACTGTCTCCTGGCCCACACCCTTGTCCTAAGATCACTGAGTCCCGGTGACGCTCGCCCTTGTGCATTTCTTTCTTTTTTTGGAGAGATTTTTGCTATAGGGCACGTGCACTCGACAGACAGAGACAGACAGAGAGACAGAAGTGAGAAATCACCCCCCAGGGGGGATGGCCACACCACAATCTCTTCTCCTTCCTTCTCCTCTTGGGATCTTGGGCATGCACACACATGCACCCGGTGTGAGTTTTAAGCCACCAGGTCCGGGACGCAAACAGCAGTCGACTACGTGGGAGTCCAGCGACATAGCCATTACGCTAACTGCTGGTCCCCGCCCTTATGCATTTCTGTGGACACTGGAAGCTCTGCCTTGCTGCTGGGCCTGTGCACACCTCGTTCCCTCTTTCAAAGGTTGACTGGTTCTGCTTCCTCTAATCGAAATGTAAAAGAGCATGGAAAGACATCCCTGATGCCCTTATCCAAAGCAAGTCAACTCTCTCCACTAATCACTACCGTAACACCCTAATTTTATCCTTCCTGCCACTTATCACAACCATTTAGCTTACACATTTGTTTAAATATGTACGGACAAGATAATGCCTGTTTTATACACTGCTGGGTACACTGTAAGGGCTGAAAAACTATTTAAGAAACTGATGAATGAATCATGACTTTAAACTTTCATTCACTGTGGGAAGACATTACATAGAGTTCTAGGGTATGAAAAACATACTAGGTGATAAATAAAACCCGAAATAAAAAAAAAAAACACCAGTAAAAAAAAAAAACAAAAAAACAAAAAAAAACTTTTTCTTTTTTTTTCTTATGAGAGACTTTGGTTATATGGCACATGCGCTTGCCAGAGACAGAAAGATGGAAAGCGAGAAAGCATCCCCCAGGGGCGATGGCCACACTGCAATCCCTTCCCCTCCTTTCTCCTCTCAGGATTTTAGGCGCACACACATACAAGTGCCAGGTGTGAGTTTTAAGCCATTGAGTCCGGGACTTGAACCATGGTCGACTATGAAGTCCAGCCACAAAACCATTACGCCATCTACTGGGCCTGAAAGATAATTTTTTTATTAAGCTAAGGATATTTGCTGTTCTATTCTGAGCCATTTCCTCTGGAACTCTGAAATTCCTCGTTAAATTATAGACATTATCTAACCAAAATCATAACTGGCTTTAAGAAGCAACTATTTTCCAGGAGGCCCAGTTTACGTAAAAGTTGTGACCAATGGTGGATCTAAGAGATATCCCCAAAAGGTGGGGCTTAATTTCCTTCCCCTAAGGCCTGGGGTGCATTCAATGACTCACTAATGAATACAATGTGACAGAAATGAAGGAGGACGTGCAGCCAGCAGAGGACGTGGCGTTTAAGGCGCTGGACTCCCACATGACAGACCATGGTTCAAGTCCCAGCTTTCCCACTTTCCTTCACTCTCTCTATCTCTGGTGAGTACATGGGACCTGTAGCAAATTTAAAAATGAAAAACTAATGGTAAATAAAATTAAATAATTAAAAAAAAGAAAGAAAGAAAGAAAGAAACGAGGGAGTTTAACTACCAAGGGCAAGTCACAGAAATACATTAGGGCTCCAGCCTTCTCCTTTCTCGGGCCTCTTGCTCTGCACAAAGCCAGCTCCCTCGTCATGCGGGTGCTCAAGCAGCAAATGGAGACGCAGGCTTCAGGCTTAGCAGTCAGGAACCGAGGTCACTGCAAAGGGTTGTGGAAGAAATGTCCTCCAACCCCAGGCGCTGGAGCTCCGCTAACATCCTGACTGCTATTTGTCTCGGTTCTATCTATAATAAGGTATTACCTTAAAAATCTGAGTTAGACTGATCAAAAGAGCTCCAATCACTGCAAAATTAGGTATGCTAAAAGGAAACCAAGATTCCACTGCTAATATGCTTTAATCAATAGAAAAATCCCAGTGCTCACTCTCTTCCCAGTCCTTAAATTAGTTAACCAAATTGTATTGATGGTGAATCAATACCCACTACAAAAAGAAATAATCAGTGATGGGATTTTTAGATAGAGCCCACTGACCAGCACACGGTCAAGCTCACGCTCCCAGTTCCCTGTTCCATGAGAGCTGCCATGGCATTTAACGTGGCTCTGAGCTCTTCACTAGGTTACTGTGAGCAACATAAACACCAGTCACTAAGTACCTACGTATACACGAATTAACATTTGATCTCATATTTACCACAGGTTAAATGGTCTTTTATTTTTTAAGGAGAGATTTTTGCTATAGGGAGTGTGTGCTTGCTAGAAAGACAGAGAGAGAGAGAGATAGACAAAGAGACAGAAAGTAAGAAATCAGACCCCCCCCACCCCTTGCCAGAGGGGATGGTCACACCTCAATCCCTTCTCCTCCATTCTCAGGATTTTGGGCACACACACAAACACACCTGGCATGAACTTCAAATGCCAGGTCCGGCACTTGAACTGTGGTCCCCCATATGGGAGTCCAGTGCCTTAACCACTACGCCATCTGCTAGCCCCATTTAAGTTTTAATTAAATATATTATAGTTAAAAAATATTCAATATACAGATTGTTTACATAAACAAAAAAATTATAGGGACCAGCAATTAGCGTAATGACTATGTCGCTGAACTCCCATGTAGCTGACCATGGTTTGAGTCCCAGACCCAGCGGCTTAAACTCACTCTGGGTGCGTGTGTGTGCGTGCCCAGGATCATGAGAGGAGAATTAAAGAGAAGGGATTGTGACGTGGCCATCCCCCCTGGGGATGATTTCTCCCTTTCTATCTCTCTGTCACTGTCTTTCTGGTGAGCACACGTGCCCTATAACAAAAACCTCTCAAGGGAACCAGCAATTAGCGTAATGGCTATGTCGCTGGATTCCCATGTAGTCGACCGCGGTTCGCGTCCCAGACCCGGTGGTTTAAAACTCACGCCGGGCGCGTGTGCGTGTGTGCCCAAGATCCCGAGAGAATGGAGGAGAAGGGATTACGGAGTGACCATCCCCCCCGGGGGGTGATTTCTCGCTTTCTGTCTCTAAGGTCTCTCTCTGTCTGTCTGGTGAGCGCACGTACCCTATATCAAAAATCTCTACAAAAGAAAAAAAAAAACCTCTCAAAAAAAA